CCTAAGCTGCCCGATTATTCCCACCAACAATGGCCAGTTGGTGTCCTCAGGAGGACCACAGCTATAAATCAGCACACTGTTATATCACCATGTCGTAGTGCCCATTTTGAGGGGGAATCCCTTGCCTGTAATTGGTTTCACTGGTAAAGAAGTGATTCTTTTGCAGCAATGTGAAAATCTTTGTATTAAAATGTCAACCACCTTCATCCAATCCCACTGTAATATTCCTTGTATAGAACAGGAAGGGGATAGAAAAGGAAGGGGATAGAGTCCCCCCTCAACTGTTTTTGCTTGGCATATTTGTGATTGAAACCAATCTGTTCTAATGAAAATGAGTATAATAGCTTGTGAAAACTAGATGTGTGTTTTTTGGTTTGTGTTTGTTTTTTTTTTTTTTTAGGTTTTTTTTTTTTTTTTTTTTTTTGTCACATAACCTACAGTGCTGTGAAAAAGTATTTGCCCGTTCCTGAATTTTTTTTTCTTTCCCTGCAAATTTGTCACACTTAAATGATTCAGATCAAACAAATGTTAATATTGCACAAAGAACTCATAAAAAAAAATGAATTTTGTAAATGATTTCATTTTTTTTTTAAGGGTAAAAAAGCTGTCCTGGCCCAATGTTAACAAGTAATTGCCCCCCCACCCTCCATCCCTGCTAAACCATGAATGAACTGTGATTAACCACATTTTTTGGAAAGCTGAATTTAAATTTCACCTGCCAGACCTGTTGTATCAAGAAATCACTTAAATAGAAGCTGTCTGACAAAGTAAAGCATTCTGAAAGATCTCAAAAAGCAACACATCATTCCACGATCTAAAGAAATTAAAGAACAAATGAGATACATGGTAATTGACACATATCCTTCTGGAAAGGGTTACAAAGCCATTTCTAAGGCTTTGGGATTCCAGTGAACAATGGTGAGAGCTATTATCCACGAATGGAGTAAACTTGGAAGAGTGGTGAACCTTCCCAGGAGTGGCCGGCGTACCAAAATTACTTCAAAAGCGCATATCGACTATGATTTAACAAGGAGGTCATAAAAGTACCCAGAACAACATCGAAAGATCTGCAGGCCTCACTTGCCTAAGTTAAGGTCAGTGTTCATGATCAGGGGCGGACTGACCATTTAGAAACTCGGACACTGCCCGGGGTCAGTATGGGGCCCCATGAGATGCCCCTGGTACCTTTTTTCATAGGCTTTTTTGAGTTTGGGCAAGGACACGGGGGCCCTATGATCCCCTATTGCCCGGGGCCCCATGAGTTGTCAGTCATGATTCAACAAAAAGAGACTGGGCAAAAATGGCATCCATGGGAGAATTCCAAGGCAAAAGCCACTGCTGACCAAAAAGAACAAAGGCTTGTTTCACATTTGCCAAAAAACTTCTTGATTATCCCCAAGATGTTTGGGCAAATATTCTGTGAACTAATGAGACAAAAATTGAACTTTTTGAAAGATATGCATCCTGTTACATCTGGCGTAAAACTAACATAGCATTTCTAAAAAAAAAAAAACCTCATATCAACAGTCAAACGTGGTGGTGGTAGTGTGATGGTCTGGGGCTGCTTTGCAGCTTCAGGACCTGGACGACTTCTCATAATTGATGGAACCATGAATTCGGCGTTCTACTGGGAAATCCTGAAGGAGAATATCTGACAATCTGTTTTGTGACCTCAAGCTCAAGTGCGCTTGGATTATGCAGCAGGACAATGATCCGAAACCCACCAGCAGGCCCACCTCTGGTTCAAAAAACCCCCAGAATTTAAGATTTTGGAATGGCCTTGTCAAAGTCCGGGCATATATCCGATTTGAGATGCTGTGGCGTGGCCGAGCATGATCATGCTTGAAAACCTTCCAGTGTGGCTGAATTAAAACAATTCTGCAAAGAGCAGTGGGGCAAAACTCCTCCACAGCGACGTGAAAGACTCATTGCCAGTTTTCACAAATGCTTGATTGCAGTTGTTGCTGCCAAGGGTGGCACAACCAGTTATTAGGTTTTGGGGGCAATTACTTTTCCCTTAGGGTTGATTTTGACAGGTGCCCACTTCTGCTCCGACCACCAATGTTTGGAAGCGAAAGTTCTCCTTCCATTCTTCCTTCCTCCCTCCCTGCCGTCTTCTGGGACACTTGACTGGTCCCAGAAGACTGCGGGACCATTCCTAACGTGCAGCACTGCTCGTGGCTTCACCCACACCTATGATGCCAGGGACAGAGGATGGCCGGTGAGCACACCGCTAGATCATGGGACAGGTGAGTGGCTGTGTGAAGAGCTGCCTCATCAGGATCATTAAACCCCATATGGATCTGATTTGACCTCCTTCAACCATAAATTGTTGATGAGTCCAGCGCCTCAGTGATATATGTTCAAGGTTTTTATTGCCGTTTGTTTCATTATTGGAGATATTGGCAAATATTTCCTAAGGGGATACAGGAAAAGACGCATGTTTAGTGGAGTGGAGGTGTTAGAATGTCTTATCTATTATTTATTTATTTTTTGTCCTCCAGTGTTGTATTTTTTTTTTTTTTTTTTTTTACCACAATTTTTCGTTACAGAAATCGTGACCAGTTTTTTCTTTTTTTAGAACTTTTTCAGGAAACATTCTCCGAGTGACAAAGGGCCGTATGGAATAAGTGCAGAGGTCATGGACACATATGTGAAAAGTTGTGGTAAGTTTTAATATGAAATTTCAGTGAAATGTGTGTTTTTATAATGCATTGGTTTTGTAAATGAAGCTGCACCTGTCCTGGCCTAAAGTGCCTCATCTAACAATATTTCTGAAGTGCAGTTGCTGGTATGTCACTCTAGATCTAGAGGGGTGACTGAGGCTCTGTGACCAAGGTTCCTGTGGAGCCCCTTTTAACCGCCACCCGCCCGCCATATAGTCCAATGACGGACGAAAGGCGGTTCTCTCGTTCTGGGAGGACGTCATATGACGTCCTCCCATTCTCACCACGCATGTGCGGCGATCGGCGGTACGCTGTGTTCCTCGGACACAGCGGATCACCAATCCACGGAAAGAGCTGAAGGTGTCGGCTCGGTCATGTGATCAGCTGTGTCCAATCACAGCTGATCACATGTAAACAGGGAAATGCCGTTATCGGCATTTCTCTCCTCACGAGCTGTCGCGCTAACAGAGGAGAGGAGAGCAGAGCCGGTAATCGGCATTCCTCGGAGGGGACGTGCACTGGTCATCAGGGCACTGATGATCAGTGTGCCCTGATGATCTGTGTAGCCCCAGCAGTGCCACCTGTCAGTGTCCATCAGTGCCAGCTCTAAGTGCTCATCCATGTCACATCAATGCCACATATCAGTGCCTACCAGTGAACATCCATGCCACATATCAGTGCCCATCTGAGCTGCCTTTCACTGCCACCTAACAGCGCCAGTCAGTGCCACCTAACAGTGCCGCCTCAGTGCCATGTATCAGTGATTGTCAATGCCCATCAGTGCCAGCTACCAGTGCCTCCTCATCAGTGCCAGCTACCAGTGCCTCATCAGTGCCCATCAGTGCAGCCTCATTAGCGCACATCAGTGAAGGAGAAAAAATCACTTATTTACAAAATTTTATAACAAACTAAAATGTTTTCGTTTTTTTTTTTTTTTTTTTGTCAATTTTCAGTGGATTTTGGTTTAAGAAAAAATAAACCCCGAGGTGATTAAATACCATCAAAATAAAGCTCTATCTGTCACAAAAAATGATAAAAATTTCATATGGGTACAGTGTTGCATGACCGCGCAATTGTCATTCAAAGTTTGACAGCGCTGAAAGCTGGAAATTGTCCTGGGCAGGAAGGGGGTATAAGTGCCTGTAGGCTAGTGGTTAAACCATGGGCCCGGGACTTGACATTGCCTCTCCCATGCCCAAACTCCAGTTTTGTTAGGTAGCTGTCAAATACTGGAACATCCGTGAACAGTTGAGGTCTGGTCATTTGACAGGTAGAGTACTGGAGTGGACCGTGCATTGACAGAGGGTGAAGTACAACGTGAGCCTGTGCTGTGTGCATGCAAAGAGACCAGTTCCTTTAAAGTGGAACTAAAGTCCCTACTGAGAGTAGTTAGGCTTTTATTTGCAGATGAGACATGCAGTGTCTTCTGCAGTAAAATAAAGTGCCTGCCTGCCCGCTGTCTTTAGAATGTTCACTGAGCTGCACAAGAGGAGTGACGTCATTCCATGCCAGACAATGAAAACTGATGCAGCCTAGCACTCGGAAGAAGCCGGGTAGAAGCGGTTGGTGAGGGATGTCAAACCGTTAACCCCTCGCCTACAGGGCACTTCTACCCCCCTTCCTGCCCCCCGGGCACTTCTACCCCCTTCCTGCCCCCGGGCACTTCTACCCCCTTCCTGCCCCCCGGGCACTTCTACCCCCTTCCTGCCCCCCGGGCACTTCTACCCCCTTCCTGCCCCCCGGGCACTTCTACCCCCTTCCTGCCCCCCGGGCACTTATACCCCCTTCCTGCCCAGGCCAATTTCCAGCTTTCAGCGCTGTCACACTTTGAATGACAATTGCGCGGTCATACAACACTGTACCCATATGAAATTTTTTAACATTTTTTTTTTTTTTTTTTTTTTTTTGAGAGCTTTTTTTTGGTGGTATTTAATCACCTCCTGGGATTTTTATTTTTTCTTAAACCAAAAACCACTGAAAATTTTGAAAAGTTTTTTTTTTTCTTAGTTTTTGTTATACAATTTTGTAAATAAGTGATTTTTTTCCTTCACTGATGTGCGCTAATGAGGCTGCAGTGATGGGCACTGATAGGCTGCACTGATAGGTGGCACTGATGGACACTGATAGGCTGCACTGATGGGCACTGATGAGGCATTGACAGGCTGCACTGATGGGCATTGACAGGCATCACTGATGGGCACTGAAAGGCAGCACTGATGGGCACTGATGAGGAGGCACTGGTAGGTTGCACTGATGGGCATTGACAGGCATCACTGATGGGCACTGAAAGGCAGCACTGATACATGACACTGATATATGGCACTGTTAGGTGGCACTGTTAGGCGGCACTGGTTGGCATTGATAAGTGGCACTGAAAGGCAGCTCAGATGGGCACTGTTATGTGGCATTGATGTGCACTGGTATGCACTGATATGTGGTACTGATATATGTGGCACTGATGGGCACTGGCACGTGGCACTGATGAGCACTGACTGATGGACACTGACAGGTGGCACTTCTGGGGCCACACTGATCATCAGGGCACACTGATCATCCATGCCCTGATGATCAGTGTACATGTCCCCTCCACGTAGTCTCAAAGTGTTTATTATATATATTTAATGTTTTCAGGGGTGCTGAGTAATTTTTTAGCAAATGATCTTTACATGTAGGAGAGCGATGCCAGAACTGGCCTGGGTGGAAAGTAGTTAAAGAAAAGGTGATGTGGGAATTCTTGTGTTAAGTAGAACAGGAGAGAAGATGACATTGTACTGATCAGGGATTGTTTTGTCTTCTGGAAATGCCGACCCTGTAATTTCTCTGCCTTGTTAATAGTCAGTCATTGTCTCATTACACGGTATTCTTCCTTTCAGCGGGATACTGCGTCATCACATACATTCTCGGAGTGGGAGACCGACATCTGGACAATCTCTTGTTAACCAAAACAGGTCTGTAGTTCTTTTATTCGGTGCACATGTTGCATCTGCTTGCAGCAGAAGGGAGATGGTGCTCTATGGATTTTTTGTAGCATGATGTCTCGGAGAGCCAGGAGATGTCTTGTCCGGGGTGTATACAGCACCCAGACTTTTTACATATACATTCCAGGGCCTCTCTTCCACCCCAGGAATACACCTGCCTCTGGCTACAATTATGTCGCCAGGTGAATCCCATTGAAAAACCTGGGTATGTTCCGATAGTGCTCTGTGGACTGCAGAACAGGCATGTTGAGCTTGCTGGAACTAAGGTTTGTGAAAATAGAAGCACACCACTGTTTGCAAAAAGCCACTGAACTGATCCCTGTGCCTTTTTAAAAGAGCAATGCGAGTTTCTACAAAAAATAAACATTCATACTTGCCTATGTGGATGCATCCAATGCTGCATCTGTTCCCCCATCGCCTCTCTACACCCAGAACTGAGGAACCAAAGACCTCAGATCATTGATCTCAGCCTTCAGTAAGCAGAGAGCGGTGATTGTCAGTCACCGGCTCTCTGCTCTGCCCCTCCAGTGCTCACTGAAGTGCCGGGCTGTGAAGGGGTCAGGAGCGGCTGGCTCGGGGCTCTCAGTGGTGCTCCGAGAGGCTTAGCCATGTTTCGCTCAGGCTTCGGGGTGGATCCCAACAATATTGTTGGGATCCCTTCAGAGCCTGGACCCACTGTGTGACATCAGATGACTCTGGGGGTTGCAGGAGTGCAGAACTAGGTTCTTTGGTCACAATTCGCCTTTAAAAAGTTTGCTCAACCTTGGGATCCTAACAGCCACTTCTTGTTCCCTACTCTCAGACCTGTATATACAGGTTAATCACAATCTAGGAAAGCAGGAGATAGCTGCTGTACTGAATTCCTCTTGCAATGGAGGCTTTAGTATATTTTAGAAGGTCTGCTGTATTATTGTATCAAGAGGCAGAGAAGGGGATTGGAAGATGCTAAGGATGGGTTCAGCAGAGAGAAGTGGGCAGAAAACAGGAGGGGAGGGTGCAGCATAGAGGAGGTGGTGGAGAGAAGTGGCCGGAGAACACGAGAGGAGTCTGCAGAGAATGGGTTCAGCAGAGAGAAGTGGGCAGAATACAGAATGGGAGGGTGCAGCATAGAGGAGGCAGCGGAGAGAGAAGTGGGCATAATACAGAATGGGAGGGTGCAGCATAGAGGAGGCAGCGGAGAGAGAAGTGGGGCAGAATACAGAATGGGAGGGTGCAGCATAGAGGAGGCAGCGCAGAGAAGTGGACGGAGAACACGAGAGGAGGCTGCAGAGAATGGGTTCAGCAGAGAGAAGTGGGCAGAATACAGGATGGAAGGGTGCGGCATAGAGAAGTGGGCGGAGAACACGAGAGGAGGCTGCAGAGAATGGGTTCAGCAGAGTGAAGTGGGCAGAAAACAGGATGGGAGGGTGCAGCATAGAGGAGGTGGTGGAGAGAAGTTGGCGGAGAACACGATAGGAGGCTGCAGAGAATGGGTGCAGCATAGGAGGAGTGGGCAGATAACAGGATGGGAGGGTGTAGTATAGAGGAGGCGGCGGAGAGAAGTGGGCGGAGAAACACGATAGGAGGCAGTGGAGAACAGGAGTGGAGGCGGCAGAGAGAAGTGGGCGGAGAACACGATAGGAGGGTGCAGTGGAGAACAGAGGAGTGGAGGCGGCAGAGAGAAGTGGGGCGGAGAACACGATAGGAGGCAGTGGAGAACAGGAGTGGAGGCGGCAGAGAGAAGTGGGCGGAGAACACGATAGGAGGCAGTGGAGAACAGGAGTGGAGGCGGCAGAGAGAAGTGGGCGGAGAACACGATAGGAGGCTGCAGAGAATGGGTGCAGCATAAGAGGAGTGGGCAGATAAACAGAATGGCACGAGGCAGAGACTGGGTGCAGCAAAGAAAAGTGGGTTGAGAACAAGATGGGAGGATTCAGAGATTGGGTGCAGCAGAGAACAAAATCGGAACATGTAGAGAGTTGGTGGGGCAGAGAAGTGGGCAGAATGGGAAGCAGCATTCCAAATCGCACTGCAATTCTGGCAGAAGGCCCGCATGCGTGTTCGGGTGACATTCATTTTCAATGTTCCCTAATGCAGTGCGATATTGTCACGCAATAAATAGTGTGCTGCTGTTGTGGCAAACCGCATTGTGTGAAGGTTGTCTCCCAAAAGAATCTCCAGCTCCATTTTGGGCAAGAAGCTTTTAGGTGCCATGGAAAATTAATGGCACCCGAGCGCTCGTTTTACATCCCATAATAGTTTGCTCGAACAATGGGATGCAACCGCATGGCAGAGAACAATGAACAACCCCCACACCAATATTAGAACATTTCACCCTGTACCCTTAACAGGCACAGGGTGACTTACACATTATGGGGAGCTGAGACAGGGGTATCCCCACCTCTCCAAAGGGGGCTGTGTTCCATGGGCCCCCCACCCAAAGTGACTGCCATCACATCCATGATCCAAGCCCGGTCTTGGAGAATAATGGCTGGACCCACACCCAGCTCAGTGCTGCCTCCAGGGCGGCCATTATTCTCCATCAAGGTCAATGAGGTCTGCTATGGTAAATACAGATGGGGACGGGTTTAGAAAAAAATTTTTCCTTTCTAGCTGCATCTCTACTTTTGGAGGCCAGCTTGGGATGTTCAGGATAGGAAACCTTTCTCCACTTGTTATATTTCTGCTGCATCCTGCAGACCTCCTACTGTAGCATTCTTTGTCCATTTCCCTGCTGGAATTATGTCTATATACATATTGCGGACTGCACTAAATCCAATTACTGCTTGATGTCAGCGATTGCAGAGGGCATGATGTGCAGCGTCTGCCATGAGCTTCCTATGGGGAGATGACTGGTGCGTCTCGGTAAACAGATGACGGATTGTTGCTAGGTGGAAATGGTCCTCTTCCCCCTCGGTGTTATTCCAACCAGTCAGCAGAGGGCACTGTACACCCACCATATACTTTTTCCTTCCAATGCAGAGATCTTCTGTTCTTTTGTTTTTTTTTTTTTTTTTTTTTGTTGTTTTGGGGGGGGGGGGGGGGGGGGGGGGGGGGGGGATTGCAAGGGAGAATACAGAAGATGCTTTGTTTGTTAAATTGCTTGTTTTGCCTCTTACAATCTGAAGCATAAATTGAGTCTGCAGATAGATAATCACATTTGTGCAGAAAAATGTTCTGTTATTAGTGTTGGCTGCATAAAGTGTCACGCATGGGATGATCTCCTGTGTATGTGAATTGCCTTGGCTTTCCCTCTGGCTCTGGTAAACGGCACGCCAACTGCTAATCGCCTTTTGGATGGTCTGTATCTGGGCACTCCCTATCGTTTTGGCACCGAATCGCACTTTTCAGGGCGGGATGTTAAAGTGGTATTCCAGGCAAACTGAAACGCAGGTAAAATCGCCATACTTGTCATTCTGTTCAGCTACCGTATAACTGGCGTACTGCTGATTCAGAGCTTGCAAGTTTACGTTTTTACGTGTCGCTTGTCCACTTCCAGCCTACCCAAAAAAATTTAACTTTGAGGTTGAATTCACACTTCTGCATGGCAGGAACAAGCATTCTTGCTAGCCGTTTTTGGTTGAGCGATTCCCACGTGATTTTGCGTGTCGCATAGGGCCAGCCCATTCACTTGACACTTGACTTCAGGTGACCAGCTTCATGCAGTTTGTAAAGGCATAGTTTGCCATGATTGCTGCACGACATCCCAACAGAATCGCATTGCGTTTGGGGTGGATAATGTCACCCCTAACACGCATTGCGCATTTAAGTGATTTGCCACACAAATTAGGATGGCAGGTAGAAGTGTCAAGGGAGCCTAAAGTGATTCGTGAATGTGGTGGGTTTTTTTTTTTTTTACTTACCATAACATGTTATACTTACCTGCTCAGTGCAGTCCCAATCCACCTCTTAGGTCCCCCATAAGTGCTCCCAGCTTCTCCTCCACCATCCGCTGAGTGTCCCCTTGCTTTTGGGGCACCCTGAGCCCTGCTCTGCGTGTCCATTGAGACACAGAGCACAGCTGGGGGTTAGAGGAATTTGGTGAGGGGGGGAAAATTTCTGCTAGAATGGGGATTTTTTTTTTTTTTTATAAATGATTGGGGGGGGGGGGGTATGGATAGAGGAATTCGGTGAGGGGGGGATAATTTGTGCTAGAATGGGGATTTGTTTTTTGTTTATTTTTATAAATGATGGGGGGGGGGGGGGGGGGTAGAGGAATTTGGTGAGGGGGGATAATTTGTGCTAGAATGGGGATTTTTTTTTTTTTTTTTTTTTTTTTGGCGGTGGGGGTGGGGAGAGGATTTAAGCTGTGTAGGGGAATGGGGAGCTAAAGATTTGTGCTAGGAGGAATTTCAGCAGGGAGGTGGATTAGTACGAGGAGGAGGGAGAGTTTATGCTTGGGGGGGGGGGGGGGGGGTAGCAGGATGCAGATTAGTGCTGGCACATAATGCTCATACATCTTGGGGAAGGAGGATGGGAGGATGGGGGGGGGGGGGGGGGGAAGCACACAGTTTGGCATGTTTGCCCTGGGCTTTAGATGACCATGTCCCAGTATCCTGTGCCTCTTCAGGAACAGGACCGGCAATCTACTGCTGCTATCTAGGCCAGCCTTTTTCAACCGGGGTGCCTTCTGGGTTCTTCCAGGGTACCTTCTCAAGATGCCTAAAAATTGTGTACAAACCAATAGGTAGATGAATGCTACTTTTTTTGTTACACAAAGCTACAGGTTTTCATTCTGCAACCATTACAACTTTGGGCTTTGTACAGGTTAGCCGCCAGCTTTCTAACAAGCGCTGTCATCCGTGATTGATTAATAAGGAAGACATGGAGCACCTGCACAGCATCTGTGTCTGACCCCCTGCCCCTCGCTGTCAGCACTGGGGTCACGTTGGCTTCATGAGGGAGAGAACATTGGGAAGAAATGCTGGCATACTAGTCAGTACCAGTGTGTACAATTGTATGCATTTTGCTTTAAAAGAATAAATTGCCTCTATCCTTGGGTGTCTTGTGTGCGTGGATGCTGCTGCAATATGTAAAACTATTGGTTAAAATTATGCAAAAAATCTCGAGGCACCCCCTTCTGAAATGTAAAGTACTAAAGTGTGCCTTGAATAGAAAAAGATTGAGAAAACGCTGGTCAAGGCCCACCACCAACCAGTCTTAATGCCTCCATTGATATGGTGCCATTACTGGATTCTTCAGGACCATGTGTGCAACCAATGGACAAACCTATGGACAACCAATGGGAAGTGTCTGCATCTACAGGTGGTGTCACAGGCATCTGAAGAAGATTCCTCCCATTCTGCTGTCCTGAAAATGAGTGGGGACACGTCAAGTGACCCCCGATACATGCAAGTCAATGGGGCATTTAATTTGGGGAATTGGCTGGAGAAGGGAAAGGTGGGTAATATCTGATATTATAATAGGGAAGGGGGCCTGGAATGAGGGCCAGTTCATACCACAGAAACGTAGCCTGGATGTGTTCCGGATGCTCTTCTGCATGTGTGTTTTTGCTGCATCCTGGTCAATTATTTTATGCATTTTTATTCTTTTTTTTTTTTTTTTTTTTCTCCTTTTTCTTTACTTTCCAAAGTTTTGTGTGGTTTTGTTTTTTTTTTTTTTGTTGCTGTAATGCATTTTTATGCATACTGGTGTGTTTTTGATGTGTTTTGGTGTGAACTATGCAACTGGAACCCATATAATCTACTGTCCATGTTTTTGTGATGCAAAAAAAGGCACTGCATCTGTGGGCCTGAAGCTTTAGGTCTTCTATATCACATTTTTGTTTTTGAAAAGGTAAACATGCCAGACTTTTTTTTTTTTCCATAGAGATACCTATTATCCCTCACCAAATCACTTCTATCCTTGCAGTGTACAAAATTGCTCCATATATTTTACAAGTGTAGTATGTATGTGTGTGTAAATACACTACATTGTTAAAAGCATTAGGGCACCCCTCCAAATCATTAGATTCAGGTGTTCCAATCCCCTCCATGCCCACAGGTGTATACAATCATCACCTAGGCATGCAGACGGCTTCTACAAACATTGGGGAAAGAATGGGTCGCTCTCAGGAGCTCAGTGACTCCAAGCGTGGTCCCGTGATAGGTTGCCACCTGTGCAATAAGTCCATCCATGGCATTTCCTGGCTACTAAATATTCCACAGTAAACTGTTAGTGGTATTATAACAAAGTGGAAGCAACTGGGAACAGCAACTTAACCGCCAAGTGGTAGGCCACGTAAAATTACAGAGCGGGGTCAGCGCATGCTGAAGCACACAGTGCACAGAACTCACCAACTGTCTGCAGAGTCAATAGCTAAAGACCTCCAAACTTGGTGTGGCCTTCAGATTAGCACAACAGTGCGTAGAGAGCTCCATGGAATGGGTCTCCATGGCCAAGAAGCTGCATCCAAGCCTTACATCAGCAAGTGCAATGCAAAGTGCCAGATGCCATGGTGTAAAGCACGCTGCCACTGGACTGTAGAGCAGTGGAGATGTGTTCTCTGGAATGATGAATCACGCTTTTCTGTCTGGCAATCCAATGGATGTGTCTAGGTTTGGCGGTTGCCAGGAGAACTGTACTTTCCTGACTGCATTGTGCCAAGTGTAAAGTTTGATGGAGGGGGGATTATGGTGTGGGGTTGTTTTTCAGGGGTTGGGCTTGGCCCCCTAGTTCCATTGAAGGGAACTCTTAAGGCATCAGCATACCAAGACATTTTGGACAATTTCATTCACGCAAGTTTGTGGGAACAGTTTGGGGATGGCCCCTTCCTGTTCCAACATGACTGCGCACCAGTGCACAAGGCAAGGTCCATAAAGACATGGATGAGCGAGTTTAGGGTGGAGGAACTTGACTGGCCTGCACAGAGTCCTGACCTCAACCCAACAGAACACCTTTTGTGAGTTAGGTCTTCTCATTTGACATCAGTGCCTGACCTCACAAATGTGCTTCTGAAAGAATGGTCCAGCCTTCCCATAGACACCCTCCTAAACCTTGTGGACAGCTTTCCCAGAAGAGTTGAAGCTGTTATAGCTGCAAAGGGCGGGGCCAACTCAATATTGAACCCTACGGACTAAGACTGGGAGGCCATTAAAGTTCATGTGCGTGGAAATTCGTTTGGAAATATAGTGTGTGTGTGTGTATATAATGTATACAAGCACACTGATCAAAAAGTGTTCCTTTAATTTTTCTTTGAGCGTATAGCATCATGTCAATTAAACTCTTGGGATATTGGTCTGGTCATTATGAAATTAACAGGTGCACTAGATGGGCAACAATGAGACGACCCCCAAAACAGGAATGGTTTTACAGGTGGAGACCACTGACATTTTTTTTTCCCCCAACTCCTCTTTTCTGACTTTTTCACTAGTTTTGCATTTGGCTAGGGTCAGTGCCTTTACTGGTAGCATGAGGTGATACCTGGACCCTACAGAGGTTGCACAGGCAGTCAAACTCCTCCAGGAAGGCACATCAATACATGCCATTGCCAGAAGTTTTGCTGTGTCCCTCAGCACAGTCTCAAGCTCATGGAGGAGATTCCAGGAGACAGGCAGTTACTCTAGGAGAGCTGGACAGGGACGTAGAAGGTCCTTAACCCATCAGCAGGACCGGTATCTGCTCCTTTGTGAGAGGAGGAACAGGATGAGCACTGCCAGAGCCCTACAAAATGACCTCCAGCAGGCCACTGGTGTGAATGTCTCTGACCAAACAATCAAACAGACCTCATGAGGGTGGCCTGAGGGCCCAATGTCCTCTAGTGAACCCTGTGCTCACTGCCCTGCACCATTGAATACCAGAATTGGCAGGTCCACCACTGGCACCCTGTGCTTTTCACAGATGAGAGCAGGTTCACCCTGAGCACATGTGACAGACTTGAAAGGGTCTGGAGAAGCCGTTGAACGTTCTGCTGCCTGTAACATCGTTCATCATGACCGTTCTGTTGGATCAGTGATGGTCTAGGGAGGCATATCCATGGAGGTACACACAGACCTCTAAAGACTAGACAATGGAACCCTGACTGACATTCAGTATCGGGATGAAATCCTTGGAACCATTGTCAGACCCTACGCTGGTGAAGTAGGTCCTGGAGCATGACAATGCCCTGCCTCATGTGGCAAGAGTATACAGGCATTTCCTGGGGTATAAAGGAATTGATGCCATTGAATGGCCCCCACGCTCGCCTGTCCTAAATCCAATAGAACACCTCTGGGATATCATGTTTCGGTCCATCCAACACCGCCAGGTTGCACCTCAGACTGTACAGATCAGTGATGCCCTGGTCCAGATTTGGGAAGAAATACCCCAGGACACCTTCCATCATCTCATTAGGAGCATGCCCCGACATTGGCATGCATACAAGCACGTGGGGGCCGTACAAACTTCTGAGGACCATTTTTTGAGTTGCTGCAATGAAGTTTCAGCAAAATGGACTAGCCTGCTGCATCATTTTCACTTTGAATTTAGTCCTCTGTAGGTTGATTTTCATTTCCATCAAAGACATCCCGCAAATCAAACGATGGGGCATCTTTACGTACTTAGCGCATTACCCAGTCCATATCAGTATAGATATCCAGCATATTTTTCTCCATTGATATCCGATGTGTTTTTCAAAGAGTTCCTTTACATTTTGTTGAGGTGTGTGGGTGTTATATAGATAGATTGATAGATACAATGTAATACTTTTTTTTTTTTTTTTTTTTTTTTTTTTTTTTTTTTATATATTGCAACTTTTTTTTTTTTTTTTTGCACTTATGGATAATTACAGCTTAAATCTATGTGGTTAGTCATTTCACTCTATTGATATGTTTTATTGCATTAGGAACCTTAGGCTTGCTAACTCCTGCGCTATTACACCAGTCTTCTCAAAGCAGACAAACTGAGTGTCTGCCAATTACTTATATTGTGTGTTCGTTTGACACATTACAGGAAATTACATTTAGTTCAGCAACTCCCTTTCATCACTGCAAATGGCAATAGAAAATGAGTATGCAACCTGTAATCAGACTTGTCTGGCTCGTCCCTGGAAGTCAAATGGCTTTTCAATGGCCGTTAATTGCATTACGAATCCTCCCTGATTCTCTTCTTTGATTTTCTTGGTGTCTGATGGATTCATAAGATTTGGATATTTAGATAGATGGCTAGCACGTATTGAGCCTTTTTTGGCTTTTTGTTAATGCATGCATTTTAAAGTAATTTTATTTGTAACCGCAATGGAGTTTAAAAAGATTGCAATCAAGTCCTACCCACATTGTTTCCATGACTGTGATGGAACTCTCTATCAATGTAACCACCTTTCTAAAGCCCCGTACACAAGGTGACAATATCGGACAAATGATTGTCGTTTTTTTTGTATCGAAAATAGTTACTAAAGTTATAAAATTTCTTGTACAACAGAATAAAAATTTGAAAGTGATGTAATGTTTTGTATTGTGTTTTTTCAGACGAAAACTGTACTGATTAAATGAAAATCGTATGATCTGGTATTGTACGAGAAATTTTCGTGCTTGTCTCTTCGAATAATTTCAGACAAAAACTGTTTACTAACTTTTCAGATTTTTCGTACAGTTTTCTGATTGTGTACTAGGCTTTAACCTCCCTAGCGGTATTCCCGAGTGTAGCTCGGGGGTAAAATTTGAGTACCAAAAGCAGTATCCCCGAGCTACACTCGGGCTTACCATGCGGCGTTGCTCAGGGAGTCCCTGCAGCACTTACCTTGTCCTTCACTCCCACATGTGTCCCCTGCAGCATCCCCAGCCATCTCCTCCGGCCGATGCTGGCATCCGGCTTCCGTGTTCCGGTCCCTGTGACGTCGGGACATACGGGCGCCAGAACCGGCAGCAAATTTGAAATTTTTAAAAAATTTTCATTTTTTTAAAAATTATTACATAGTAAAACATTCCTGTTTCAAACCATTTCACATACATTTTGTCCCGAGTGCTTTGTCCGGCGCCCTGCCTGCATTTTGACTGTTCTTTCTGCCTGGAAACTGAGAAACGTCCATGGCGTCCAAAAAGCGTCCCTTTACGTCAAAAGCGGTTTTAGACCGGCTAGAGAACAGCGATAGTAAATCAGAACCACTTGCAGAATTGAGTGATAATGATTTGTGGGGGAAATTCCTCATCGGACACTGAAAACGATTCTGCGACTTTGCTCATCGCTGAGCAAAGTCGCAAAATTTGCCTGTGTATTTCAAATTTCAGTGTTTTTGGTTTGATTATATTATTGAATTAAATTTATTAGAATATTTTTTGATTATTTATTAAATTATAATTTATGATTTCGTGTTTCAAATTTTATCATCCCCGGGATGTTTACTAGACTCTTGTTCGGACAGATTTCAGTGAGTTATTCCTAAAAATTACAGCCTACAATAAAAAAACTACATATTTCCATGCAAAAAAAGGTACCGCTTTCAGCACCAAAAATCGGAAATAATCATACCGCCGAGGAGGTTAAAGAAATATTATTATTATTATACAGGATTTATATGGCGCCAACAGTTTGCTCAGCGCTGTACATTATAATGGGAGACAATACAGTAACAATACAATTCAATACACGAGGGGTTCGAGGGCCCGGCTCCTTGGAGCTTACAATCTAGGATAATTTTAATTTGTAGCTTGCATCATGTATCCATGGATTCATCCTATCATGTGCCAACAGTTGAGGTTGGTGGTGTAATTGTATGTGGAATGTTTTTACATTAGACCCCATTATACCAACCAAAGCAATTTAAATCTCAGTCTAATTGTTGTTGCTTACTGTATGTACCCCTTAATGGATGCTAGATTGACGTGTATGATGTATACAAATACATCTAACACAAGGCCCGCGGGCCAAATCTGGCCTGTGTGGCCCTTGCACCTCTCCTGCAGCTAAAGCTCCACCACTTTCTCCACACCAAACTTGTCTCCGCAGTCGGGAGCAGAGAGGACAGAATATACTGCTCTAAGGACACATAGAGCCGCGGCTCGCCCCGCACCCCCTTATCTCTTCATTGGCTTACTGGCTGGGGTTAACAGGAGGGCTCCTGCTACTGTCTCTGCTATCTGAGGACTCTTCCTCCTCCTTGGCTGAGTTTTTTTTTTTCTTTTCTTTTCCTGGAAGGGTGCATGTAATCGGCACAGGGCCAGTCAGCGCAGTCATGCAGACTCATAGGACAATCGGGGGAGAATGAAAACTCCTATAAGCTGTAATCCGTGCTCTGCTGGACACTGATAGAAGTTACAAATTTTTAATCAGCAATATATAGCAATTTGTATTGACTAGAATAATTGCACTTCCATGTTGTGTACTGTGGGAGACCAGATATAGTAAACGCGGGGTCCGGGGAGAGCGGATATAGTGAACGCGGGGTCCGGGGAGAGCGGATATAGTGAACGCGGGGTCCGGGGAGAGCGGATATAGTGAACGCGGGGTCGGGGTCCGGGGAGAGAGAGCGGATATAGTGAACGCGGGGTCCGGGGAGAGCGGATATAGTGAACGCGGGGTCCGGGGAGAGCGGCTATAGTGAACGCGGGGTCCGGGGAGAAGTAACACTTTAAGGCTGTTGAGAGTAATAGGAGTAGGTTAAAAATAACTGAAATGCAATGTGGATATTAATTTGATTTTATATTTTAACTACAGATATGCTTTAAGCTTTCAGGGACTGATAATGGGTTTAAGTGTAGAAGGTGTAAGGAAGCAAGGGCTCATATGGTTAGTTATTAGCGTTGGGAAAGATGTGTTTTTTGTGTTTTTTTTTTTTTTCTTCTTTACATTTTTAATAGAGTATGTATTGGTTAGAACGGCACGTGGGTATTATTGTTTAAGTCCCCATTTGAAAGATCTCCCCTCACTTTTTTGTCCCAGTGACACATCCTTAGTGTTGTGCTTTGGAGGGGAGTTTTTCACTAACTTCTTATCACAGCGACAACATTGTCAGATGAGGAGGAAGAATGATCTGGGACATGGAAAGCAATAACACCTTTCTTTCTACCTGTCCATTGAAGCACACAAGTCCCAATGTTCAGGTTTTATTGCCATCTAATGGAGGATTGTAGCCTGACTTTGGCAGTAGTACCGCGTGCACACTAGACTAGATCTTGCAGGGTGTGTCTAGAAGTGACTTTCAGGGACTGGGTTCTGTGCAGGGCACTTTCTAGACTTTAAGTGGTTGTAAACCTCAGTCATGAAATCTGAACAAACATATCCCGCTATAGTGTGTACTTATATCTCAATCCAGAGCACGAAGTGTCATTTCTATCTGCTGCTTTGTTCCCCTGCTATCAGCATGAATTACATCTGACAATTTTCCCTGACACTGCGATTAAAAGGTGACGGGAGGTACCTTTCTGCAGATTGACAGCCTCAGCTCCATTCCTGTGTGGAGGGGGGGGGGGGGGGTGTCTCTTCCCTCCCATCAACTCTTAGGGCCCTCTTCATAGCTCTGCAATGTCATTTAAGCTCTCCACCCCCTTTTGTTAGACCAGCTTTATAAATTCTGGGCTTTGAACATATGTAGAGAAGAGAAGACTGCGAATACACAGGTACAACTTATGTAGGAGGATGTAGAGAAGACTGCGGATACACAGGTACAACTTATGTAGGAGGATTTGTTTCATCTGTGTATCATCTGAGCCCAGTCACTTCACTGGGTATATGTAAGAATTTACAACCACTTTAAGCCAGCAATAGATGGTGCAATTTTCTTTCGTGCACCCACGGGTCATTGTTGATGGGGCGGATCCCTCCTGAGGAGCTATTGTGTTCTCCTGGCGGGGGAGCCGTGCTTGCGGGGAGAACACAGGGATTTATGCTAGCAGGTAAAGATGCTGGCAGTAATTGCATGAAATATCCGACAAGCTGCTTGTACCCAAGTCGATTGATCGGCCCATACAGTGTTCGAATCTCAGCCAGTCCCTCATGAATCTGTCAAGATTTGACTCCAATATGGCCAGCTTTAGTTCTGGTAAAGGTTAGTCAGGGAGCACAGAGTTAGTTTTTTGTTTTTTTTCTGCACAATCGGCAATTCTGATTTGCAGTCAGGCCATGTACTGGATTTATTTCAGAATCAAGGCCAGATAAACTTCCAGAGATGACTCTCTAGCCCAAGGCTATAGCTTTGCCAACCATAATCAAGACCAGTGGTGGTTGACTGAATATAGGGGCTTCAAATGCATCTACTAACCACTGAAAGGCCACACATACTATTCATTACATGTAATTGTAGAGAAGACTCATATCCTGCGGACATGCAAGAGACATAGTTGAAGATTGTCTCTACCATCTTCTGTAGTAAGTCCACAGAGGATATATTACAGGCGACTGCTAGAGATCAGTGCTAATACCGCCCCTTAACAGATTAGTACTGCCTGCACTTGATATTCCCCACAGCAACAATTTCCAAACAAAGCATATTATGGATCGGGGTCTCCAGACTTTCCAAACAATAGTGGCCAAGTGGGCGGAATAGTGGCCGGGGGGCCCCAGGGGCGGAATAGTGCCCCAATGCCGGGGGGCCCAAATGCCGGGGGGGCCCCAGTGGGCGGAATAGTGCCCCAATGCCGGGGGGGCCCCCAGTGGGCGGAATAGTGCCCCAATGCCGGGGGCCCCAGTGGGCGGAATAGTGCCCCAATGCCGGGGGGCCCCAGTGGGCGGAATAGTGCCCCAATGCCGGGGGGGCCCCAGTGGGCGGAATAGTGCCCCATGCGGGGGCCCCCCGGGGGGGGGGCGGAATAGTGCCCCAATGCCGGGGGGCCCCAGAATGCCGGGGGGGGGCCCCAGTGGGCGGAATAGTGCCCCAATGCCGGGGGGCCCCAGTGGGCGGAATAGTGCCCCAATGCCGGGGGGCCCCAGTGGGCGGAATAGTGCCCCAATGCCGGGGGGCCCAGTGGGGAGGAATAATGGCCCAAGGGATGGGTAAAAGCAAGCAAAGGGCTGCAGTTTGGAGACCACTGTTTGGAGATCAAAGAAAGGGAATGGATAAAAAAGAAATTAAGGAAATGTTGAAAAAAAACTAAACCATTTATCTAGAACTCAGTGTAATACATATATTGATTTCTGATTCCAGCAGAGAAGGTACTATAATACAGGGCATAGTTCTGGCAGTGTGAGCACCGTAGTGCCATGCAGCAGTTCTAGTAGATGCTACAGAGAGCACCTTCTATGACCTCCTCCTTAGCATGAGACCCTATGCACAGCAAGGTGAGGTGTCCTCAGGCTTTCCATACATTGCCAGAGCCAAAGTCTAGAAACTCTTATTTAAATTAGGTCACATGCTGGTCACATCTGAATGAACACTTAGGCAAGGAAAATATGGACTACTAGCTGCTGGGGTTTGAGGCCACGTGGGGAGCATCAAAGGCTGCCCCCCCCCCCCCCCCCAGGGAATCTAGAGCAGGGTTTCTTCATCAGGGTTCCATGGAACTCTAGGGTTCTTCCTAAGATTGCTAGGGATTCCGTGAGCAATGAGAAATCTCTGTTCTCAGAGAAGTTTTTTTTAAGCTGTCTGTAAGGGTAAATTTCCCAATGACTAAAAGTTGTAAGGCACATCCTTCCCACTGATGATCACACTAATGTATTTGGAGTTGTAGATATAGTAAATTTTAGCTTGGGTTCCTTGAGACAGGAAAGCTAATTCAAGGGTACCTTTTTGTCTTGGAAAAGCTGGTCTAGAGTATGTGACTCTCCTCTCCCCTCCATGTGTGTACTCTGCTAATACTCCTCTACCCTAATAGGTGTTGATTACTCCATTAAGCTCACAAGAGCCAAGGCTCTCCTGACAGCATGTGTAATCAGAGACAGTTCAATAGGTGTTGTGTTTGGACAAGGAATGTCACCATGTTTACTGCTGACACATGCATTCATCTCAGCAACTGATCCAGCAGCATCTGACTCCACATTCACTAATTGATTTGTTTACATTAACCACTTAAGTGGTCACAGACATTGTGAAGAGCTCTGCAAACACAGCATTGCTGGGCATTTCTGCTCAATT